TCCCTCCCTCCCCCGGCCACCCACCCACCCACCGGAGGGACCCCCAGTCAGACAAGAAGCAGGGCGGCCAGGACAGGACAGGACAGGGGCCGCCCGGAGGAGGAACTGCTTGACTTCCGACTCCGTCCTGGACTTCAGCGCCAAGTTGGGTTGCCACTGATCAGGCAGGAGATCAGGATGCCGGAATATTAGTGTCTTGCTATCCAAATGCAGGTTATCCTGGCACAACAAATAGTTTAGGAGGCCTCGGGGACATCTGTGACATGTTCCTTGGGGAATTATATGTGTGACCTATTTCATAAATAAAAAAAGACAAAACATTAGGCAGGATTAATTAATTAGGGAAGTTTGAATGTTTTTTAAATAAAGGAAGTCGGATAAATGCTGGAGTTGCTGTGAGATCCCCCTGTTCATATACCAGCTTTGTTAATCCAGAATAAAACCTACCACTCTTATCAAGGCAGATAAAAGCCATCCTTGCATGTGTCAGCTGATGTAGCTGGAGCAGTTTATTAAATGCCTTGGAACACCCTCTCTGTATAAAAGGGTAGTTAAATGTGTTAAAAGGTGGGTAAATATCTGGACTGAGTCATTTTGAAATGTCACCTTTTAATATGCGGCACTTGGGCCTCAGTGGATTTACACTGCTGACTTTCAATAAGAAACCAAATTGAATTTATTTGTCCGTTTTATGAGGACTGAGGAGCAGCGGGAACATCTATAGCTTTCAAAAGTTTAGTTTGTTGTTGCTAATTGCTTGTAGGCAAGCTGTCTCTCCCTTCAAATTCCAGCCAGTGGTCTCTGCAGCATTCGGTCACCGCTGGGCCCCAGGGACACAGTAATCCGTTGGAAAAAAACCACACCAAAACCCTGGCAGATCTGAATTATGCAAATCAGGGTTTATATTGGAAAATCTCTTAACGCTGCAACATAAAGGCCTAGGCCAGCTGTATTCGCTGGAAATGCTTGGCAAGATCCGATATTTCTTTGCCTCCTTTTAGGGTATCTCCACTGAATTGCTTTTGTGGATTTTCAATGAAGTGCACCTTTATTAAGGAGACCAATTTGCAAAGAAGGAACTGTTCAGGTCTGAAATTTACAAGGCCACTTTCTTAAAATTTCCAGAGGGCCTGATTTCCTTCAGATCATACAGGGAGCAAAAGTTCAAGTATAGTTTACATACCAGTGCCACTGCTGAGGTACCTTGTAAATACTAATTTAAATGAATCCATTAAAGCGGGAAGAAAATAAGTGACACATATAATCTTAATTCCTGCTTATCCCTTTTTGTTAAACGTGTCACTTTAATATTTTGTTCACATAAAAACTTCATTCCAGAAACTCCTTTTTACCTCAATTTCTTTTAAAATATTTCAGTTTAATGAATAATAATCCCATGAATACAAACCCAATTTGTGTTCATTTTGCCACATTAAAATCCTTTCTTTTTAACCCTTTATCAGAAGATAATGAATCTGATTTTGCTTTACGGTCACATTATTTCAGCAATGTGACCATAAAGCAAAATAAAACAGGATATTCATGTATATACACACATCTCTTTTCAAAGTGGCTAGTAATTCAGAAACATGATCTCTTTTATGAGCATTGCAACAAAAATATCACATGTTTTACTGCCTCAAGATCTCTAGTTCAACTCAACTCCCTTTAGAAAGAGAGAGAGAGAGAGGGAGAGGGGGAAAGTCACACTTTGCCTAGTAAGTGAAACACTGTTGTTGCCAGCACAGAGAAACAAAATATAATTGAAAAAAATTCTGCATTCTGCTGCTGCTTTTGTGCGCTGCTCCAGACTGTATAAATAGTTAGCCACCTTGGAGAATTGTCTCAGTCTCCCCTTAGCTGCTCCCCCCCCTTCCTGCAATATAAGGTTTTTTTTATTAGATGTGAATTTTCCTAACTTTTGTAATGGAGACCCTGTCCTGTAGATGGAACTGGGGAGAGTTCGTGACCATTTAATGTTTTTGTAGGAAAACCAAGACTCACGACAAGGCGACTCCTGCAGCTTCCTGCCTGAGGAGGGACAAAAGCTAGGAACTCAGCTTCACAGAGTTCCCTCATTTTTCACCCCAGCCTGCACTGTTTAAAAACCACCCACTCCACAGATTAAAGGAGACACAGACGCAGCTGAACTCAGCATAGCCTGCTCGAGTTACTGGCCAAAGTGTATTTCCTTTGCATTAAATACAGTATGATTTGCATAAACTATGTGAAAAGAATTTTCTGGATTGAACAGACTCAAACAAATGCATTTTTTTAGCAAATAACCTTTTTTGGTTTTGTGCGTATAGTATAACTCAGGGCCTTTTGATCCACGCCAATCTGGAACAACCTATGGCCAGTAAATATAAAGAATAATAATATGAATAAGCCAGGAACAGAAAATAACCATCATAAATCAGAACTTCCTTAGGAAAGCAAAATAATAAAAAAAGGTTTAAAAGCACCCCCCCCCCCCATATGATGACATGGTAAAGTTCCTTTTTATATTGCGTAAGATATCTAGTCATTTTCCATTTCCCTGCTTTATTATTCTAGACAGAGAGAAAACATTCACTAAAAAAGTTTGGGATTGCTTGGGTGGGGGAGAGTTGTCTTTCCACCTAGGTAACAATTCCAAATGGTGTAGCCAACCTGGAGGATTGTTACTGTTCCTGCTTTAGTTTTCAGAGATGAGGGGAGGGCAGTCACAGAGGTGACCCAGATTGAGGGAGAAGTGGAACAGAACACCTTCTGTCATGTTGCATTTCAGATAATTTCAGTTCCATAGTTACATTGGACCCAAATCATTGCTTTTTTAAAAAATGCCGTTTGTAGATCAGCATCGCTTTAGAGATGATCTAGAGAGTTTAGACCCTCATTGCATGTACTGTAAATGTTTTTCACTGATCTCTCCCCCCCCCCCTTTAAATGCATTGAATAATGTGCTGTTTTGACTTCTGGAATATGCCTCAAAGGACAATGCAAAACGCTTTTGTGAATTTGTTTTTAAAGAAAGAAATCCGGTTTCTTCGTGTTTCCATTTAGAAGGCAGAGAGTGTGTCAACTGTGGAGCTACTGCCACCCCTCTCTGGAGAAGAGACGGCACTGGGCATTACCTGTGTAACGCCTGCGGGCTCTACCACAAAATGAACGGTCAAAATCGACCTCTCATTAAACCTAAACGGAGACTGGTAGGTGTCTCTTTCTCTACTCGGTGCTAAGTGATTTAATGGGACCACACACACATCTTTTGGGAAGGCTGCCGGCTTGACCCATCTCCCGTGCTTCAGAGCTGAAAGGAGACATGAGATTCGTGTCACTCAGAGGTCACAACATAGCCTAGAGACAGGTTTCAGGGATTCTAGCTGCTGCCATTCCATGTCAAGGTTCAGAATGACTGCAGTTTAGTAAACGTGTTTCTCTGTAGGTGCACATGCACACAATTAGCATTTGGATTGCACTTTCACATATTTTATTCTAACCTTTGCAACAGTGCCACAAGGCTGGGTCAGTATTATTATCCGTATGTTGCAAATAGGGGACAGGGGCTGAGACCGAGACCAGTTTGTCTTGTTTCCCTTTCTTTCCCCTCTCCCTACAATCTTCAGATCTCTGCCTGCTTGAAGGTGTGTGACAAACTCTGCCTGCCTGTTTGTTTCTGTGGCCGCACTCCCAATCACTTTTATCCAGAAAGGACAGCTTTAATTCATTTGACCTCTCGGGACAGTTCAGAAGAAGGTTGGGACTGAAAGTGTTAGTCATGTCCACCCACCCAGACTAAAAGTACAAAAAGTGGCCCAAGGCAGAAAGTCAAAAGAGAAATCAGATGAGTCAGAGTTGCTGCTATCGGCTCAATAATTATTTTGATAAAGCAATTTTGCAGTCATAGATTCCATGGCAAAACTAACATTAGTCCTCTTTTCAGGCAATCCTCTAATTGCCCTTTTTAAAAGCTGATTATTTTTCCATGGAGTCACCTATACTTTGTATTTTCATTTGAGTGATTAAAAAAAGGGGGCCTTTCTAAGCTCCCAGTAGTAGTTTCCTATCCGGATATCTGTACGCTGAAGATAAGGAAACTTTGTGTATCTGTTTCCTGACTCTAAAAGCTTTAAAGAGTTTCTATAGGCAAGGCATGCCAGTCAGGCTGGCTGTTTTGAAATTGCTAATACACTCCGTTCTACAAATGCTGTATAAAAAACTGCTAAGAATAATATTTGTTGGAGTAATGTGATTTAAGGGGGGGGGGCCCTAAAAAATCTCTTTGCCATGGGGCGGGGGCTTTTTTTGCAAGAGCAAAAAGTGGGAGATCTAATGGTCGGGTGGGATATAGAGGATTTCAGCCGTGAGTCCAAATTTCAACAGGGCGAGCTTCTTAATGACTTGCTTTCCTTCTGAAGTGACTGACACGTCTAGAAAAATGTTAAGACAACAGTGTAACATTATCGTCTCTTGCAGGCTGAACTCCATGCCAGACTAAATGGGGACAGGCCATTGAGTTAAGCAGCAGAGTCTAGTATCAATAAACCATCTCAAATATGCAAACATTGCTCCCTGCTTCCAAATGTTTGGTGGGAGACTTCAAGTTCTTAACTAACTGCAAGGACTGTTGGGGAGCATGTTTTAAGATTTTATTTTATTTTTTCATTTGCCTTCTCATTGTTTGCTCATTTGATCAGGGAATTAAGGGGGGGGGGGGGAGGAAAACTGACATTTCAGCAGTGATCCTGTTGCTTATCTGTAAACAATGCCCAGCATAATGACATTATCAGTTTTCAATGCAGCATTGCCTTGGTTTCCTTCCCAAACTTTTAAAAAATTGGATGCTTGATTATAAATGGGAATGTTAGTTAGAGGTAAAGCCAGAAGGCATAGCTCTGTAAGGAGAGATACATGCATCCTGATCCAATGACAGTGATCTTCAGGCAGATGTATGGAAATGAAGGTGCAATGGGTTGATGCTTTTCAAGGTGGGGTCAATATTATCCCATTAATAACAGTCCATTGCTAGTAGGGGCTTCTAAACTCAGACTGCTGAGTGAAACTCTTCTTGTCATTGATATGCTAGCGTGAACCTCCTTTATATTGAATCAGTATATGGTCCATCAAGGCTAGTACTGTCAATTCAGCAGCTCTTCAGGGTCTCAGGCACAGGTGTGACATCACCTATGACCTGTTCAGCTGGAGAGGCCAAGGATTGAACTTGGGATCTTCTGCATACCAAGCAGGCGCTCTGTCACTGTGCTGTGTCCCTTTCTCAAGAAGTAGCAAAGGACAGAGAATTTGATTGTATGTTTTGAGGATTTTTTTTTCCTATTGCCCTCCCCCATACATGTAATCAGTGCAAGGACGGGTGTCACTCACAACCCATTTACAGCTGTTTTCCCACTGTTTGCTCACAGTGAAGAAAATGCCCCTCCTGCCCCACTTGAGCAGCTGATCAGGGCTATGATATTCTTCAAGAGCTCAGCCTGGATCGCTGTGTGAGAAGCACAACAGTTGGCTGAGACTTCTGCTGTGTTCAGTTCTGTGAATCGGGCCTAGTGAATTGTGATAAGGAGCTTCTGAAAATAGGTTCAGGTAGGGATGGTGGTGGAAAGTGACGTCAAGTTGCAGCTGGCTTAAGGCAACCCCACAGGATTTTCAAGGCAAGAGAGGCTCAGAGGTGGTTTGCCATTGCCTGCCCCTGCGTAGAAGACCCTCGATGGTCTCCCATCCAAATACTAACCAGGGCAGACCCTGCTTAGCATCTGAGACCTGATGAGATCAGGCTAACCTGAACCATCCAGGTCAGGGCTCAATTGCCAGTGATAATGCTGTAATTGGGATTGCCCAAAACATTTTGGTGTCTGAGACAGAAAATCCTGGTAGGATTGCCAGGTCCCACCTGGCTACTGGCAAGGGATGGGGTGGGTGGGTGGGTAGGTTTGCCAGATCAAGGTTGGGAAACTCCTGGAGATTTGGGGATGGAGCCTGGGGAGGACACGGACTTCAGTGGGGTACAATGCCATAGAGCCCACCCTCCAAAGCATCCGTTTTATCCGGGGGAACTGACCGCTGTAATCCAGAGATGAGCTGTAATTCTGGGGGATCCCCAGGTCTCACCTGGAGCCTGGCATCCCTAAATCCTGGCAGTCCCACCTAGGCTTACCAAACGCCGGCGGGGGAAATCTATTTCCTGGCAGGATGCGTGCCGCGGGGGACGGCTGTGCGCGCTGCACCCGCCGTCGCCAGGATGTGACGCTCCGCGTTACCCTGGCAACGGGACCCAAACAGCCCCGTTGCCAGAGTAACGCGGAGCGTCACATCCTGGCGACGGCGGGTGCAGCGCGCACAGCCGTCCCCCGCGGCACGCATCCTGCCAGGAAATAGATTTCCCCCGCCGGCGTTTGGTAAGCCTAGTCCCACCAATACCCACTTTCTGCTGCTATGCTGTTGTGCAGTCTTGCTAATTTCAGTAGGGCTTATGCAAGAGAATGTCCTGGCAGATTGTGCCCCATGGGTCACATATTTCCATCTCCCACTGCGCTGCACGCAAGTGCAAGTGACAGCTTCAGCTTGTGCAGTGGGAGGGTTACCTCAAGATTTTTTTAAAGGGTATTTGCTACTCTTGCTTTGTTTTGTGCAAGAGCTAGGGGCACCAATTTCCTTTTAAAAAAACCTTACAACTAAAATATATTTTCTCTACAGCCCCTAGTACGTTCTTGATGCCAAGTGGTAGCAATAGCCATTGGAAAAATAAACATCGGTGTATCACTGCCATTTCTCACCTCTGAGAGTTAGAGAGTAAAGGGAAATGCACTCCATTACAATACTCCTGATGAAACTGTGAGAGTCGGCAAACACATTATCAACTTTTCATTCGTATATACTGACAAATAGCTACGACTTGGAGAATCGGTGTTTGTTGTGCACAGCGGAGATTGTCAAGCCCCTCATTCTCACATTTAGGATGTGCCTAAGTTTTAGTCTGTCTGAAGCTGGTATTAGAAGGTAGGGAACAGAGCACAGTTCACACCTTGTGTAGTGAAGAGCTTTGTCTAAAGGATACAGAATACTGTTCTGTCCCATATTCGGCCACATAAATACATATATGCTGTCAAGTGGTTAAGAGTGGGGGACTGTAATCTGGAGAACCAGGTTTGATTCCCAACTCTTTCAGATAAAGCCTGCTTGGTGACCTTGGCCCAGTTACAGCTCTCTCTCAGAACTCTCTCAGCTCCACCCACCTCACAGGGTGTCTGTTGTGGGGAGAGGAAGGGAAAGGAGATTGTAAGCTACTCTGAGACTCCTTCGGGTAGAGAAAAGCAGGTATAAAACCCAACTCTTTTGCTGCTGATTCGTAGCAACCTGAGCAAGGAACTTTCAAGGCAAGTAAGAAGCAGAGGTGGTTTGCCTTTGCCTTCTTCTGCAGAGTCTTGCTTGGTCCCTTGATTAGCTTCTGAGATCTGACAAGATTGGGCTATACCATGCCACTTTCCCTTCACTTATTCTGCCACAGTGCTCTGGATAATTGTTCACATTGCCATTTTGTGGCTGCTTCAGAAAAGGAAACTGAGCCTCAAGAAATTTTGAGGGCCAGATGGTCTATGGCTTATATGTGTCAGAAAATACATATCTCCTCACAACATTTGCCAGTTTGCACCAAATGGAGAGCACTAGAAATATTTCTTGGAGCAAGATACATTTGAACCCTTTGTAGGAGGGATTCTTTCCCAAAAGAGAGAGTGCATTTTTTCCTTACCAAAAAAAAAAGTTTTGAAATGACCCTATTGTTTTCAAGGTTATGGGTCACCCAGCCAAGTGCCAATCTAGGAAAAAAACAGAGTTTTGTGTGAATGTACATCTTACTCTAGTTTCTTTCATGTTGAGGAGCTGAGGAGCTTTTTTCCCCTTGGAGTTGAGCAAAGTTATAAAACAACAGGGGTAAACATAGGCATTTTCCCGCATAGATTTCAGCATAGCCTGGGTTTGCTTCACAGGCATTTAAGCTGTATAGAACTTGGTTTTGCTATCTATAAATTCATAGAGCCAGTAGCGTGTCAGCAGTTTTTGATGTAAGACTTTATTTTAATTTCTAAGGCTGCAATTCTAAGCATACTTGCTAGGGTCTGAGTCCCATTGAACTCAAGAGGAGTTATTTCTGAGTTTGCATGCTTAGGATTGCACTGCACATATGTAGCAAAAATGTAAGGGCCAGCTTAATTTTCCTCCTTTCACTTGCAAAAAGGCAGTGACAAATCATACATTTTTAACTGAAAGTTACAATGATTTCTGCCATAGGATTTGCTATAACAGCATCTTTACAAATGTTTATGATAGACCATATATTGAGCGCAACATTGCAAATCTTGATGTTACAGCAGTCTTGCAGACAGATATTTAGTTTAGAATAATGTTTGGGATCAGTTTCTGTATTATTGCTACTGCAAAGTTCTTTATCTGTATAGTAAGCTTTAGACACTTCCTCTGTAATTTTCAGAGGATTGCATTGGGATTGACACCATCAAGAAATTGCTGAATCAGAATGCCAGCATATATGGACCAAAACACTTTTCAGATTCAAAACATCCCATGTTAGCAGCTAGACATACTTGTTCTTGGTCACACAGTGTCTATTAGCATTGCTGTCTTTTTTTTTTTTAATGCCAAAATCCCAAAGAAAACCATTTAAAATTGAGGGGTTATGTCAGATTTATTTCATAAAGATTTTGATTTTTAAAATTATAATTTTATGAAATTGTGCTGGTGGAATTACCATTGTCTTCAATCATTCCTCTTCCCTCTCTCATTAGTCAGCAGCGAGGAGAGCAGGAACTTGTTGTGCCAACTGTCAGACAACCACCACCACCTTATGGCGACGTAATGCAAATGGGGACCCAGTCTGTAATGCCTGTGGACTTTACTATAAATTGCACAATGTGAGTATTTGCTCACTGCGCGTCTTTTTGCTTGCTTAGCTGAGATTGATGCTTCAACTGTGTAGCGTCCACCAGCCCCTGTATTCATTGCATACAGGGTCTTTTAAAAAAAATAATAAAAAAGCTCTTTAAAGTTCCCCTGGGAAGTCACAGCCATTCTTTGTTGGCATAGTGATGCTGTGTTCAGTGACATTACAATGTATTAGCTTGGCTTCTAAAGCGTGGGTAATTTAGGCAAAATAGAGTTACAGCTCTTGGTTATAACGAAACCATGTCTTGCTCTCTGTCTATCCAGAAATTCAGAGGCCATTTGAAATGGATTCATGTAAAGGTTAATCCCAGTGGGGTATCTTTAGGAAAGCATGGCTTTTTAAAAAAATGCAAAGCATTAGAAGAGCTCAGAAGAATTCCAATGTGGAAACATTTTATGTATTTTTGACACATAGTAGTAGAAATTAGAGATTTCTTTTCCCTGCTTAGAACCTGAACATTTCATTTTGAGAAGTTAATGTCGGTCAGGGTGTTATATGAGTGGAAGTGAATACATCCAAGGAAAGGCGAGCTGGACACTGCCAGATTAAGCCCTACTCATTTTTGTGGCTGTGATTTTGGTATGCGGTTTTCATTAAACAAATCAACAAAATTAAAATCTGCAGAGGGGGAAAAAATTGATGGGGGGCATAAAATGATTTCTATCAAGTACATTCTCCTTAGGGAAGGGGGAGGATGTCCCACTATTTTTATTTGTCGCCTAAGAAGGCTGTTTTGCTCGCATGAGCCTGATTTTCTCATTTCTTGCAGGTGAACAGGCCTTTGACCATGAAGAAGGAAGGAATTCAGACCAGAAATAGGAAAATGTCCAACAAGTCTAAGAAGAGCAAGAAAGGCTCTGAGTGTTTTGAAGAACTTTCCAAGTGCATGCAAGAGAAGTCTTCTCCTTTCAGTGCTGCTGCCCTTGCCAGTCACATGACACCCATGGGGCACTTGCCACCTTTCAGCCATTCTGGACACATCCTACCAACGCCTACCCCCATTCACCCATCTTCCAGCATCTCATTTGGACATCCACACCCATCCAGCATGGTCACAGCCATGGGATAGAATCTGAAGATCCAAGGACCCTAACAAAAGACCTAAAAACACTGGGCTTTGCCTAAGATGACACCAAGGAAACGATTCTGCCCAGAAGAGAGAATGTAGGGAAGGAAGGGAAAAAAGGGGATCTCATTCCAGTATGGTTCAACTCTTAGTGCTGGACCTTGCAATGATGGGTCTTCTGCAGAAATGCTTAATGGTGCCTGTTATGCACTTTGCCCCCTCAGGTAAAAGGAGAAAGAGGAACTCACCTGTTTGGTAGGATACCTGCTGGTCCCAGCAGAAAGCAAAGGTGGCTGAAGCAGTAGAAGAAGCTGGAGCCAGCTTTCCTTTCTCTTTGTTAATTACTGTGAATATTGTAAAGAGATTAGCAGCCTCCCAAGGCAGAGGAGGTGGAGTGGTAGCCACCCATGCTGGATTTCTATCACAGACTTTGTTTTGGGGGAAGAAAAATGGACAACTTTATAAAAATCTACTTTTTAAGAAAACAAATCAGACACAGAAAAAAATCACTATTTATTTTGCTCGTATTCCAGAAAGAGCTTCAGAACCCTTGCATGTGTTTGTGGATCTTATTTTATTTTTTTTAAAAAAAGAAACGTCCACCCTAGTAGGAAAAAAGTTGTTTTGGGTTGCTTAATGGCCACTGTTTTGATTCTCTTCATTGCTCTTAGATTTAAAAAAAAAAACTACTAGGAAGCGGATGTGTGTGAGAGAGGGAAACTTGTAGCTATCATAGGTTACAATAGCCTCAAGGTGCGGATTATTTTTGATGTAACTTCTGCAATTTATTTCCTCAATGTGAAGATCTTTTTTAAAAGCATGGCATCCTACCAGAAGACATATACACTGGACACATGGCTAAAAGGTTTTCCATAAGGAACAATCCTGCATTGGCTGAAGGATAAAATACAGGAAGTCGGCGTGTCTTTCCTGTCAAAATGCTCTGAGCATTGAGTTGGCTTTAGGGAGCAGAGACAGATGTCCCCCACACAACAGGCAGCCTGTCCTAGTCCCCTCCTGCTTGTCCACTCCAAGTGTTATGCTGTGCTAGCATCTGATAGTAAAACAGCAGCCTTGTTCTGTCCCAAAGGTTGCGTACATCTTGCAGCTGCCCCAAAGAGATGCCACTGCTTCAGATGACCCCACACAGCCCCTGGTCTGCTATGCTCCTTGAATCCACACCTGCTCTACCCACCAAGCTCTGCAATCTTAGTTTGCCCAGGCTCTGTATCCTGTGCTCCACAGCCACCTGTTCAGTCCAGGGCTGCCCCCTCTGCTCTTGCACACGGCTTCTTTCTCTGCAACCCCCCCCCCAAAAAAAAAAACCTGGTAGAATCATGGGAAAGAACTTTTCTGCAGCCCTGCAGTGTCCATTCTGAAAATTCCTAACGTTTTGCACTAGGCCCCAGGAATTTCAAACCCCCGCTCCCTTTGGAATTTCAAACCCACCACATGTTACTGCTGTCATTTCAGTAGGCCTTGTGTGGAATGCCCTAAAAGAAAGGCAGTGAAATAGCATGCTGTCTTTTACTGACTCACAAAGCAACGTCTGCTTTGATTAGTGGGGGCAGCAGTTCTCAGACAAGATCCACTCCCCCCCCAAGATCCTTCAACAGGAGGTGCCAAGGAGTGAACCCGAGATCTTCTACGCTGTAACCTCCTGTTCTGGTGGATTGCCCTCTTGGGATTTATACACAGCATAGCCCAATTCAGGGCAGGGGAAAGAAAACCATAACTTTGCAGATATTGATCACAATTTTTTTTGTTTCATTGGCAGAGGTTGACCAAGATACATGACATTTTATCTTTCTAATCTACTACTATATTTTTAATATTGTGTCAAAACAAAGATGGAATTTGCTGTCTATAAAGCATGCATGTCACTACAGAAGAGGATGAGGGGCAGAAAGAGTGGAAAGACCCACAGGACAGCGGGGGTGGGGGGAGAGAATCCTTTCCTAATTCTTACAACAGTTCAAATGCAGCAACAGATATTGAGCAATGGAAGGTGACCTGCTGATGGGGAGAATGGGGTATGCAAACTGTTTCCTGTAGTACATCTTTTTATTTTTAACAAAAGTCAACAATATTGGAAAAAGAAATTGTCTCCCATTTTGAAACCATATTGTACGTAAAAAAACTGAAAAATAAAGCTCTCGCCAGTGTGAAGTGTATTCTCTTAATTGTTATGATCTGATGACTCTCATGATCACAAGGTCCAGTATAACATATGATGTACATATTTAGCTATATTTCTGATGAAAAAATGCCCCTATGAGCAGAGGGGTTTGATAATGTAAACCGCATAAGCTTAACTCTGTGACAAGCCTTTTATTGTTTTTTTTTTAATTTTTTAACCAAGCCAATTGTATCTTAACTGCAAAAGTCTGCTTAAAACAAAAACAAAAGGGTGTACGTTGTTTTTTCCCTCCTAAATATGTAATTCAGCTATTTGATAAAGAACGAAGGACCAACCATACAAAGCAAAACTGCTTTCCTCTTTTGTTCTGGTCTGTGTAGGCACATATAGCTGCACTTTGTAAAGAAGTAGAAATAATCACCAAAAGAGAGAGAAAGAGAAAATTCTACTTGATTGAAACAACATTTGCAATTGACCAAGATGGATATATTAACTCCTTTTCCCCTTTTTTGTGGGTGGCGGGGGGGGGGGGGCTTCTAAAACATGGTACAATTAGACATGATTTGTAAACCATTCAAATTCCTTTAGAATTGGGACTGTTGGGGTGGCTGGGTGTGAGGGCAAGGGAGGTTACTGATATTAGGGAGCAATCTAACCAGCACTGCTGCTGCTTGCTATTGACTTCCGTGGGGTGAGCTCTGCCCAAGCCCCGATGGAATGAATGGAGGGTGCACAGCAGGCGAGCTTGCTGGGTGGGATCCACAGTCGACAAAGTGCAATATATTGTCAGTCACTGCAGCGTAGAAGAACCGCAGTCAGGATTTAAATTATTTTGTGCTTGTATCAGCATAAAGATTTGGCAGTATTTTCTGTTTTATTTTTTTAATTTTTTGCTTAATTTTTGGATTAGTGAACTAAGTTATTGTTAATTATGTACAACATGTTTATATATTGTCTGTAAAAAAAAGTGTATGCTTCCCTCATATTCCTTCAAGGTGAATACTGCTAAGAATAATAAAAAAAATACCCTTTTTTGTGAAAAAAAAGTTATTGCTTGGATTCATGCAGTTCAGACTTTGTTTCATGGGATGATTCTCTATAATAATTCCCTAAATTAACAATTGCTGGAGATATAGAGGTGGGCTTCGGTGTTTGAGACAATCTGGAATGCGAAGCAAGGGGAGATTTCTTTCTGGATTGGAGCTGGGATGGACAAAAAATTTGTTAGGAACACCAAAGCTGCCCTAGACCCCTTCCCCGTTCCTTATGCTGATGAGACTTCCAAACCGTTGAATTTTGGGAAGAACTAATTGGGTGGCACAGGGTGTTGCAGTTTATAGGTGGAGTCCCTGTAGTTCTTTGGATCCAAGCCTAGATGCTAGAACCCAGAGTTGTTTCTTGCCAGAGAAACACTGCTGTGGCAGTAAGGGCTACTTCCCATAGCACGACAGCAGCTGCAGTCTTCGCCAGTGTGTGTCCCTATGTTGAGAAGCTACAGTTAATTCTCTATGCCTAGCATGAATAAGAGTATGATGAGCGCAGCTGAAAAAAATGAGCTGAAAACATGGTCGTGTTTTAAGGCACACATGCAAAATGTTGAGTGGCTGCACTTGAACAACATAATGTGGGGGAAAGCTCAGTGTGTTATTAGTAAAAACAAAAGTTAGAAACCAGTGTGATTGACATTTGTTCTTATTGGAGTGAAATTCGGGGGTTTAAAGAACTAGTTGGTTTTTAAAAACAATTATCTTGAGAATAAAATCTTATGCTAGGTTTTACAAAAGATGGTTGTCTGGGTCTTAAGTTAATTAAAGAATTTGTGGGCTTACCAGGTAAAATAATGAAGCATTTCCCCATGCCCTTGGAAGTCAGATACATTGGGTAATATGATTCCTCCCTAAATCCGACAGGTCTAAAGCTGAGCAGCAAAGTATCAGAACAGTGCAGGGTAAAGAGGGCAAGGGACTGAAAAAAGGTCCAAATTCAGGCGGTGCCCCTTTTGTACTATCTCTTTTATAAGGCTAAAGCAGTTAGCTGAACCATTGAGATGTAAGACTGGTTTTATTTATAATTCTAAAAAGTGCCTATGAGGCTCTCTTGCATGATTGCATTATCCATTTGCGTTAGAACTAAAAAAAAACCCCACAGTTTTAAGCCCCCTGTGAGAAAATACTCTTCACTTACATAATGTAAGTTACACTATGGGTTGTAAACCAGAATTCCATACAGGGTGTTTGCAGTTCTGCCAAGATCATGAGAAAGGATTTTGCCAGGCAACATATTTCAGCATCTAACTGTTTAGATTTAACTATTGATAAGCTTCAACTATTGTTGAACAAGAGCAGTAGTATGTTCTCAATGCAGTAAGGTCCATGCTACACACACACACGCACGAATGAGCACACAGTTGCTTATTTGTAACCAGAACCTATTGATTTGATTCATTGCATTAATTTCATTGACATAAGCACACTTAGTCTTGTCTCGATTGTGTCCATATATTAAAATCCAAAGAAACAGAGGGGAGCTGTGTCTTAAGTGCAGGCTGTAAGGTTCTTTGCTTATAAAGGGTTTTCATTTCTTCCAGTTTTCCTCACAAGTTTGGTGTAGTGGTTAAGAGCGGTGGACTCTTATCTGGAGAGTCGGGTTTGATGCTCCATTCCTTCACATGAAGCCAGCTGGTTGACCTTGGGTGAGTCATAGTTCTCTCAGAACTCTCTCAGCCCCACCTACCTCACAGGGTGTCTGTTGTGGGAAGAGGAAGGGAGGGAGATTGTAAGCTGCTCTGAGACTCTGAGTGAAGGGTGGGGTATAAATCCAACCTCCTCCTTCTCCTCCTCCTCCTCCTCCTCCTCCTCCTCCTCTTCTGATAGGAATTGCAGTTTTCAGAGAAGACTCTTCATACAAATACAAATATGGTTCTATATATTTATAAATGCATTATATTTATGTAAATAAATAAAAACGAGGAAATGTTTCATTTCAGCTGAGCTGTTGA